TGGGGGCAATATGCTGACTCTGTAAACCGCTTAGAGAGGGCTGAAAGTCCTATGAAGCGGTATATAAGTCTAACTGCTATTGCTATTGCTATATTCTCATTGCCTCCTTTCCCAGTACAACAACCCTGTGAGGCGGATCGAGACACGGCCCAATGTCCCCCTACAGCTTACTTCCACACCTAAAGGAGGACTAGATTTCACCCTTTCCCGGTTTACATTTCAGTCGATTTGTTTTGGGCTGCCAAATTGTTTGCAAAGCATATTTGCTGGGAGGGTTATTTTCTTAAGCAACTTTTCCTGAAATGCAGTTCGCGCCTTTCCAGATAAACAATCACATACAAAAGAGGGACCTCAGCTGCTCTTTCAAGGAAGGAAAGATCACCTGGGTGGCCATGCCACAGATGTGGGAGAGGTGAAAGGGAGGTGGGGAGGCTATGATTAGTGAAGAAACTAAGGAACTGTATTGTGCAAACTCAGACAAGGGGGAAATTAATAACCAGGTTAGGCGTGTTATGAAAGCAGCCCTGCATTTGGTGTATAAGTCAATCCTTGTGTCTTAAGGTTTCCTGGCACAAACAACAAAACTCTAGACTACTGTGGCAGGGTGTGCATTCCTTAGAACTTCATTGCATTGACCTTTGAGCTGGTTCTTGACTAAGGTAAAGGTTCCCCTCGTATATACGTGCTAGTCGTTCCCGACTCTAGGGGGCGGTGCTCATCTCCGTTTCAAAGCCCAAGAGCCAGCGCTGTCCAAAGACGTCTCCGTGGTCATGGGGCCAGCATGACTCAACGCCGAATGCACACGGAATGCTGTTCCCTTCCCACCAAAGGTGGTTCCTATTTTTCTACTTGCATTTTTACATGTTTTCGAACGGCTAGGTTGGCAGAAGCTGGGACAAGTCATGGGAGCTCACTCCATTATACGGCTCTAGGGATTCGAACTGCCAACCTTTCTGATCGACAAGCTCAGCGTCTTAGCCACCCAGCCACCACGTCCCTTTTGGTTCTTGACTAGCCATCTATAAAGGGTGGGGAATGAGATTCCCATTTCCGACGTCTGGAAAGTTACACATAATCTCCTACGAGTGAGTCATCCAGGAAAAGTCCTTAGATGACCTCCATTCTTGGCGGCAGAAGAGCCAAAGGGTTAGAATTGCGGGGTTTCCCCCCCCCAAAACTCAGGAACATTTAAGACCTATGGACTTCAACTCCCAGAATTCCTCGGCTGGAGTTGAAGTCTATACATTTATAAAGTTTCCAAGGATTTTTTTTGGGGGGGTGGGGGGAGAAAAGAAGCAATCCTTTTTAGAGCCAGGGATGTGCGATCCCAGGGGGGTGTTGGTGTTTTGTTTTGTCGTCTCCCCACCTCCCCAAATAATTGCTGGCATTGCACAATTGTCTAAGCTGCGGTGTGGTTTTTCAGCTGTTTGCGGTTTAGCACAGGGCGCGAACTTGCTATTAACTTTAATTGGGCAAACCATGGCTTAGCAGGTTGAGCTGAAGGCAACCGCTGTGAAATCTCGCTCAAGCCTTTTCCGACTTTCCACTTTGGCGCAAATCAGTTTCTCTCAAGTTATCTGTAGATCTAGGTTTGTTTAAAGCTGTGTTTTCCAACCTCAGCAAGGTTAAAACGTGCAGAATTCAAGTCCCAGAGTTCCCCAGCCAGCTGGCTGGGGAACTCTGGGACTTGAATTCTGCA